CGTGTGTGATGTGCTTTGTGTTCTTGTGTGTTCCGTGTGTGTGTCGTGCGTTGCCTCGGAGTCAACCCGTTTTGGTATTGTGTGCGTGTCTGTCTGGATCCACCTCTCTCTCACACACATCGTCTCTTTGTATGTTTGCTTGTGTATGCGCAGGGACATTGTGTTGGTGTGCGCGTGCCGGTGGTTTGGCGAAGAGCGCATGGGCCGTGAGGGGAAGGTTGGATATGGCCCCTCGTGTAAGCAGGCAGAGGAAGAGTTCAACAAGTACACGTACACGGAACTGGCACTGGAGACCAAGGTTGGGCTCATCGTGGATGGATATGGCTACCACTCCTTCAGGTGTGTGTGTGTGTGTGTGATTGTGTGTGTGTGTGTGCGTGTGTGTGTGTTGCAGACGATTTCGGTCCTGTTCTTGCTCATCAACACCTTCCATCTCCTGTCACCCCCTTTCATGCCTCATAGATCATGGCTGCGGGTGCCATCCCCGTCATTGTCGTCGATCACTACGTGCTGACGCGTATGGATGCCACTTGGTGTGTGTGTGTGGTGTGTGTGTGTGTGTGTGTGTGTGTGTGTGTGTGTGTGTGTGTGTGTGTGTGTGTGGAGATGTACCCCTCCCGTCGCTCATGGTGCTGTGACGTGATGTTCTGGCGTTTGCTTTTTGCGCGCTTGCAGCCCTACCAGGACCTGCTGGACTGGGAGACGTTCAGCATCCGCATTCCCCAAGCACAGGCTCCTCGAGGTGTGGTGACAGATCGGTGACATGGGGATGTCAAGTTATGCGTGAGGGGGGATGTGGTTTTCGATGGGGATTGTGTTTGGTGATGGCTTGCATGTCACGTCGCAGACACACACACACGCACGCACGCACACACACAACTGTGTTCAGCGTCCGAGGATCCTGCGGTCGATCCCTGATGAGGTGGTGGAGATGATACAGAGACGCGTTGTGTTTGTGTTTGAGGAGTTCTTCAAGTCCCTCTCCACCCACGTGCACACAGGTGAGGGAGTGAGTCATTGGGACAGGGAGTTCTGGAGTGAGTTTGGCGACGTTTGTGGTGGTGTGTGCGTTGCTCACTTGTTCTCGTGTCCATTCAACCACTCTCACCATCTGCCAACCTGTGTGTCATAACTGTGGTATGTGCTGCTGTCAGCGCTGGAGTCTGCCAGGATCAACCTGTTCAGTGGCGACAACGCCTGGCAGGTTTGTGTGTGTGTGTGTGTGTGTGTGTGTGTGTGTGTGTGTGTGTGTGTGTGTGTGTGTGTGTGTGTGTGTGTGTGTGTGTGTGTGTGTCTGTGTCTGTGTGTGTGTGTGTGTGTGTGAAAGAGATCGTGTGAAGGGGTGCGAATCAGCACGGTCACCTCACAACATCTCGCTGCCACCACCAACACCTTCATGGCGCACACGCACAAATGTTCGCAGGGGGAAGATGCAAGTGGAAGGGCTGGCGTACGGCACGCCCAATGACACGCCACACGATGTGATGCAGGAGTCTGTATGATGCAACACCCACGCCCACCAACGAACGGCGGCCAAGGATAATGCGCCCATGTGATGTGTTTGTGTGCGATGACGATGAGGAGGAGGATGAGGAGGAGGAGGAGGAGGAGGAGGAGGAGAGGAGGAGGAAGATGTCTAACAGCGTGACCAAGATCAGCTTTGTCACTAGTTCAATAGTTCAGCCTAACTGTGTGTGGTTACTCTGCGTCAGTACATGAAAGTAAACGTGTTGAGAAGACACGATGTCAGCCAGGCAATGTGTGTGTGTGTGTGTGTGTGTGTGTGTGTGTGTGAAGCAAAGCAACGCTGCAGTCAAGCAACAAGAGAGAGGGAGATGAGCCAACACACGCCACCACCTCTTCACCCACGAAGTGGAAGCAAGCAACTCAGCAAGCAAAGAAGAGAAGAAGTAAACCAAATCAAGCCAAGCCAAGACAAAAGTGAAGAGAGGAATGAGGAGACACAGCTACCACCACCACCACAGCACCACCATAGCAGCCAGCCATATGACAAAAAAAAAAGGAAGAAAGAGCAACATCACCCGTGATTCCCGCCTGGTCACCCACGGCAGTACTGAACGGGCCCAAACGGGCTTAGCTTCCGCGATCGGACGAGAGCGGGCGTGATCCCGTTGGTATGAACGTTGCCGACAGTGGAGGAAGGCAAGCAATTTATCAACGCAGCAAGCAAGCAAGAAAAAGATGAAAATCGCACACACACCAAAAAAACCAGCAGCAAACAAGCAGAAACAAGCAAACAACCGATTCTGCTTTCCAACCAACCAACCAACCAACCAATCCACTTGCCGTTGCTTGCTTCATTCTTCTTCTGCGCAGCAGCTGGTGTGTGTGTGATGGTGATGGTGGTGGGAATGGTGATGGTGATCATGGTCGTCGTCGCTGCTGCTGACAGGCAGGTGAGGCGAGTTGAGGTGAGGGTGAGGTGGGGGGATGTGAGGTGGGGTGAAGGTGTGTCATTGGTTCGTGCACACACGCACGCACACATTGGTGGTTGTGCGTGCCACGTTCGTTCGTTCCTTCCTTCCTTCCCCTTCCTTCCCCTTCCTTCCCCTTCCCTTCCCTTCATCGTCCTTCTCGCTGACGCATTCACCCACACACACACACACACACACACATGTGCAGGGAGGGTGTGTGCACCGTCTCTCCCCCCTTCTCCCTTCCATCCATCCATCCTTCCTTCCATCATTGTCCATTTCCTTCTCCTGTGATGAACCACGCACAACCAACCAACCAACCAACAACCACATGACCCATCCATCGACAGGTGAGGGTGAGATGGAGTGCTCCCACTTCTTCCTCTTCCACTCCGTTCTCCTCCTCTTCCCCTTCTTCCCCTTGCACACTGCGCACAGAAACAAACAACCACCCCCATCAACAACAACAACACCACAGCGCACACTGTCATCGTGCACACACACAGGTGGACCACCATCCATCCGTGCATGGGTGGGTGAATCACAACCAACACACACCACTGCGTGTGGCACACACACACACACACACACACACACACACACACACACACACACACTTGCTCACCGTTGTGTGGTGACAGAACAGCTGCCATCAGCCACCATCATGCAGCGGCGACCCTGAGAATGGATCATGCAACCTCTCAACCAGTGAGCAGCACACACATGTGAGAGAGGGGGGAAATGGCATCAACCAACATCACAGCCAATGTGTATGTGTGTGTGTGTGTGTGCACGGCGCTGTGTTTCTGCCCATCCTCCTCCTGCTTTCTCCTCCTTCTGTCTGTGCCACGCTGCTCACTGCTGCTGGTATTGTTGCTTGCTTGTTTGTGGTGGTGCGTGCAGATGGATGCATTCCATCATCATCATCATCAGCAGCAGCAACAAGTGCTGGCTGATGCGTGAGGCAGTGGGCAACTCCCACCCCAACCAACCAACCAACAAATGACTGCGTGCTGACGGATGAATGGTAATCGAACCACTGCCAGGCAGGTGTGTGTGTGCGTGTCTCGAGGTGCATGTTCTCTTCTCCACCCATCCACACGCCGTCGCCACCACACCCTCATTTTCTCTTGTGTGTTTGCTCAAATCCCCCCTTCCCACCCTCACCACCAAGACCACCACCACCCTTCTCGTTTGTTTCGTTCTCCTTCCTTTCTGCTGTCGCCACACAGAGGGCCTTTGAACCAGCAGCTGTCACCCCTTCCCTCCACCAAACACCACTGCTCTGGTGGGATGAACAGACGGGCGCTGCCATGTGATGACCATCCAGCCACGCTTGTGCGGCTGTGGAAGCTGCAACACCACCACACCACACCACAAACAAGCAAGCGATGAGCAACGTGAGTGCATCATTGCGTGTGCGTGTGTATGCTGCGCACCGCTCCAGTGTGCGTGTTTTGTGGTCGCTGTCTCTGCTGCTCCTGTCTCCCCTTGTTGTCCCACATTAATGTGTGCATGAGTGGTGTGGCCGCATGTTTTGCCTTGCTTGATGCAGTGTCTCACTCGTCGTTCTCACACACAACTGCTTGCACACCTGCACATTCCCCACGTTGCAGCCGCTGCTTATATTCCCCTCTCTTTCTCGCCCTCCCTGGCGGCCATCACAACAACAACAACAGCAGCAGCATCCAACACACCCTCCACCGCCGATGCAGCAGCAGCAGAGAATGCACCACCACCGCTTGCTGCTGAACACATCCCCCAACCAACCAACCCATCGCCCGCTGCTGCTGCTGGCGGGAAGCTGGCTGCCTGCTGCTGGGAACAGGTGCCGACAGGACAAGTTGCATTTTCGGCTGGAACCAGCAGAGGTGATGTGAGGGCGAGAAGAAGAGGGGAAACGGCGAAGATATGTGTTGGCTGGATGGATGGATGGATGGATGAGGTGGGGTGGGGGATGCTGGGTGAGTATGGTGTGGTGTGGTGTGGCTGGTGACAGGGAATGGCGGTGTGGTGTTGTGAGGAAGATGGATGGATGAATGGATGGCGTGCAGCATGTCTTGTTCCCTCCCTTCTGTTTTCTGTTTTCTCTCTCTTCCCTTTCTTCTTCTTCGCACAAATGCATGCACAACACCAGCAGTGGCAGCAGCAGTGTAGCTGTGCACATATCCATGCTCCCTCTTTCCCTCCCACTCACTCACCATGCTGGTGCTCGCACACAAACACACTTACAGGCGATGCGCACGCACAAGCATCAGGATGAGGGAAATGTCAAGGATACTTGTCACGCGTGCCAAGTGTACTCGCCTCACACATGGTATGTGGGTGGTGATGAGTGGTTGGTTGGTATGTGATGGGCTGGTGGGTGATGGTGATGGGGTGCGGTGAAGCGAACAAGGGGAAGAAGGGTTCATGGGGGATGATGATCACGCACACTGACACGCACACACACACACACACACATACGCGCACACGTGGTGCGTGTGATGTCAATCACTCTTTCTGCTGTGCTGACATAATGGCTTGCTCTGCGTGTTCTGTTCCCATCCACGTTCCCTGCAACCACACATGCACACACGCACACACGCATGCACAGGTGGTGAGGTACCAGCACACATCAGGATGGTAATGATGGAAGCGGGCTCGCATGCCGGCTGCTGCTGCAGCAACCACCCTGATTCAGCTGCCGCTGCTGTGCTCATGCAGTGTTCCCATATGCGTGAGCAAGGTGAGCCCATCATGGATGCTTTGGTTGGCACATGGTGCATGTGTTGGTGTTGCTGCTGCTGTGCGCGCGGTGTTGCTGTTGCTGCTGCTGTGCCTCGTGCAGCAGTGTAGCTGTGCGACTCACATGCCATGTGTATGTGCATGTGGCTGCAAGGGGGGCGACTGCGTGACGATCGTTGGAGGATGATGGGCGGGTGCACACATGATGGATTGGGAGGAGCAGCTGTGGACACACACGTCCATGGTCATAGCGGGCACATCCAACCACAGCGACGCAGTCATGTGCAGGTGTAGGTGTGTGTGTGTGTGTGTGTGTGTGTGTGTGTGTGTGTGTGTGGTGGGGCGAGGAGGAGGAGAGCAGGGAGGAGCAGGAAGCTGAATACGCCTGATGTGCTCACATGCCATGTCTATGCCTTGTGGGTGATGGTATCGTTGTGTCTTGTCGTTGCGTGTTGGTTGCATGGGCACCAGGGCCACATCACAAGAGGGGAAGGAATCCGCCATGAACGACCCATCATCATCAACCTTCCCCATTTCTCGCTCCTTTCTTTCTCTTCCACCTCAGCTCCGCTGTCACCGCCATCACCGTCACCATCGCCATCGACTGCACAGCCGCCATCACACGCCGGCCGACAACGGCCCCAATCTGGCGTGAGGCAGACATTGCACATGTCAGTCGCTCTGATGAAGAGGTGAGCAATGTGTGCGTATGCGTGGTGGTGAGTGGGGACAACATGTGTGCGTGTGGTTGTGTGTCAATGCGCGTGGTTGGGTGGGCTGGCGTGTGGTTGATGATGCTTCGCTGTCAACCTCACCACCCTGCATTCTCTCCCATCTTGTTTCCGTGCACACACACGTTTCACAGCGTTGAGGAGGCGCATGAAGCGGTGGAACCAACGACGATGACGGTGACGGGTGATGAAGGTGAGAGTGCGACTGAGATGTGTGTGTGCGTGTGGTTGACATGTTGTGTTTCCTTCTTCTCCTGCCACTTTCCTTGTCTGTTCTGTCCACTGATGTGTCTCTTCTTCTCCTCCTTGTTTTTTTCGATTGATTTGGACACAGGGCCATGTATCTGTCTGCATCCAACCGACTGACCAAGCAGCCGAGCGAGCAAGCAAAGGACACGGCGTGGCAAGGGGCCGTTTGTTTTCACCGTTTCCACCACAAGCAACAACAGCAGCAACAGCTGATGTGTGGCTGCATTTTGTATGAACGGGCCCTCTGTCTCTCGTCCATCTCCTCCTCGTCATCGTCGTGGCCCTCATTGGTCAACAGCAGCGGCTGCGGCCATGGATGTGGAGGTGAGGTGAATGATGGTGGTTGTGGTGATGATGTGGGTGGTGTGTGATGTGTTGGGTGTGAACACCAGCATGTGTAGATGTGATGTGAGGTGCTGGTTGGATGTCGTTGGGTCTGTTGGTGGTGGCAATGGGGTTTGTTGTCGTTGACAGCCTGATTCTGTGACAACTCACCTCTTTCTCCACACGCACACGTACAGGGGGTGTAATGTGCGTCGATGTGCCGTTGCCTCGCATGACGACGATGATGGTGGTGTGTGGTGGATGTACACGGCGCACGCACACGCATGTGCAGATGTGCTGCTTGTGGTGGTGGTCGTGGTGGTGGTGTTTGCGAGGGGATGTGACATATGCGTGCACAGGTGACGATATGGGTGATGTGAATGTGGCACAAGGAGGTGGATGTGGTTTGTTTCTGCCATGCTGGCTCACTTCGTCGTGTCATTCTTGCTGATTTGGTTGTTTGTGCTTGTGCGTGTGTACATGTGTGTGATTCTGCTCTGGACGGTGGCTGTTCTCTTCCCAAGCCCTCATGACACGAGCAGGGCGATACACGCACACACACAAATGTGCCAGAGAAGAAGACACGAGGTGAGACGCTGCCGCTGTGTGTGTGTGTGTGTGTGCGGTGATGGGGTGATGGGGCGGTAGCACACATTCACACGCATGTACACGCATGTACACATGCATGCTAACACACCAGAGCAGTCATTGGCTGTGGGGTGGTGGTACTGACATGTGTCTCACATGAATCAATCACACAACTCAAATGTGCGTGTGTGCGTGGCTGCAGGCGCATGTGTGCGGGTTTCCCCAACCGAATCCCCTTCCTCATTTCCCAACCAATCGCCTTTGCTCTGTGTCATCATCATCTTCATCAGCCTTCCCCATGTGATGTGGAGCTGTTGAGGCATGATCGAGACAACGGCCAACACAGGTATTTCAGCAGTGGTGGATGTGGTGATACTTGCTTACCGTGCTTGCTTGGTTGGTTGCTTGCCTGTTGGATGCTTGCTTCGTTGTTCTTGTGTGTATCTGATGCACCCCCGCCCACAACATGCTGCATATTCCCATGCGTGGTCCCTTGCGCCCCACCTTTCGTGTTCTCACCACCACCGGTCATTGTTGTTCGTCTCTGGTTGGTTTCTCCTTGCCTCACAGGCACGCAGGGCAGGCTAGCTCGCTGCTGCTGGTGTGCTGCTGTGATGAAGGCCGTGCGTGTGCATGTGCTGTGCGCCGTGTTCCGGGCTGCACTGAAGAAGACAAGGAAGGACACGGCCCGTGCCCACCACTCTTCCCCCCTTCATCTCCTCTTTCTGCTCCATCAGCGATGACGATGGTGGCCGTGGCATGTGATTGCGGTTCCTTTTTGTTTGGCTTCGCTGTGGCACGTTGGCTGGCTGGCTGGCTGCATCAAGCACAGGTGAGGATGATCGTTGGCGGTTGGTTGGTGAGTGGGCTGGGTTGTGCGGAGTGGTGAGAAGCGGGGGGAGGAGGGAAGTGACACGGTGGTGGTGGTGATGGCGGTGGTGGTGCAACGTGGGAGTGCGGAGCGAAAGGAGGGAGAGGGAGGGGAAGGGATGGAGGGCGATGATGTTGGTTGGGGGATGGGGATGCGCGTGCACATGCACGTGATGTCGTGTGGTGGTGGTATCACATGACAATGGCACATACGTCAGTGGCTCATTCCTTTTCCTTACACCTGTGTGTGATTGTGGTGATGACTGCAGCAGGCAGCACAGGGCGGTGGATGCTGGATTGGATTGGTTGGGGTTGCTTGGCCGTTGTGTCGTGTCGCCCATTTCTCTCTCTCCGTTGCTCATCTCAACTGGGAACACACACAGCGATGTGTGTATGTGTGCGTGTACATGCGTGTGCGTCGCCATCAACCACGCCGACAGCGACACGATGCACGAGGTGAGGGCACGCAATGGTGTGCGTGTGTTTGGTGGAAGAGGGATGAGGGAAAGTTGGGAGGAAGGCGTTCATCATGGCCACCATCACCACCATGGCTGTGTACCTGGTCATGTGACCGTGCATTTGGGGGATGGATATGAGGGAGAGATGTTATCGTTGTGTTGGTTGTGGTTGCATTGCTGTGTATGCGTGTGCATGGTGCACCGTCTCACTCTGCAATGCCACGTGTGACTATGTGTGTGTGACTGCAGATGTGCGTGCGCGTGTGCGCATATATCAGGCAGATGCGTTGATCGACGATGAGGTGTGTGTGTGTGTGGTTGTGGTTGACCTTTGTGTTCTTGTGCCATCACACACAACACACAACCAACCACATCATCACCATGCACGCCCATG